GAGGTAAAGGCTGCAAATGATGTAGATAACTGAGAATAGGACAGATAGTTTGAGATAGGATATTTAACACATGACCTTTTTTCTTTTCTGAGAGCAATGGGTAGATTTAGATCACTGAAATTATTACCTTTGTCATTTTCTGGCATTGAGTCAGATTCATGGACAGTGACAGGATCAGGGATGTCCTCTATTCTGTGATTTGGAACTCTCCTTTCATAAACCTTGCCAAAAAACTTACTTGTCTGCTGTTCATCATCTTTCCTTGTTTCAGAAAAAAAAATTCATTTTCTTTTGACTCTTGACTATTTTCTAGTGCATCTAACTGTCTATTATACTGTGCATCTAGATTAATGTCAAGAGGTTCTAGTTTTTCATGGATATGTGATACATTATTACCATCTTCATTAGGAATCTCCCCCTGAAGATGAGTACCAAAAAAAGGTTGATCTTCTACAAAAGCAGTGTTCATAGTTATAAACATCTTTTTTGTTATAGGGTCAAAACATTTATAGCCTTTTTGAGTTGAAGAGAGTCCTAAGAAAACACATTTTTTCCCTCTAGGGTCAAATTTACTTGCAGTTCTGTCAGGATTGGTAATAAAAACTGTGCACCCAAAAATTTTTATGGGAAGAGAATTAATTAGTCTAGTTTCAGGAAAACAAGCTTGAAGAGTATCAATAGGAGTTTTGAATCCTAGAATTTTTTATGGCATCCTGTTAATTAAATAGGTAGCATGTAAAACAGCTTCTCCCCATAAATATTTTGGAATTTTAGCAGAAAACATGATTGCACGAGTGACTTCAAGTAAATGTCTATTTTTCCTCTCAGCTATTCCATTCTGAGCAGGTGTATTAACACAGGAACTTTGATGAATAATCCCTTTTTCAGCAAAAAAAGTATTTAACTTCTTAGAAAAGTACTCAAGTCCATTATCACTTCTCACAATTTTGATATTAGTGTTGAATTGAGTTTGGATCATTGAGTAAAATTGTTTGAACACCTCTTCAATCTCAGATTTTTCTTTAAGTAAAAACACCCATGTGACCCTTGTGCGATCATCTATGATAGTTACAAACCACCTTTTTCCTTTCAGAGTTGAAACTCTAGATGCACCCCAGATATCACTGTGTACAATAGTGAAAGGACTAGTTGGTTTGTAACTATGAGGGATGTAAGAACTCCTATGATGTTTGGCAAGTGCACACATATCACAATGAAATGATGAAGGATTTTTATTAAGAAATAACTTAGGAAACAACATTTTCAGATAGGAAAAACTTGGGTGACCTAATCTATAGTGCATTAAATACACTTCATTATTACAAGGAAAGAAAACAGTTTGCAAACAAGTTTTTTCTTGACCTTGTTTATTCAATTGTGTTCCTTCATCAAAAGTATAGAGGCCATCCTCCTCTCTAGCACTGCCAATCATCTTCCCTGATGCCAGATCCTGAAAAATGCAATAAGAGGGAAAAAATTTTACACAACACTGAAGATCTTTAGTAATTTTGCTAATAGAGATAAGATTGCAGGAAAGTTTAGGAACATGTAAGACTTTGGAAAGGTTAATGGATGAGGAAATTTTAATATTTCCCATCCCTGCTATGGCTGAAAAAGAGCCATCTGCAACTCTAACTTTCTTATCTCATGCACAAGGTTGATAAGAAGAAAAAAACTTTGGAATGTAGGTCATGTGGTCTGTTGCACCTGAGTCAATGACCCAGGTGTTTTTAGGTTTTTTAGAACAAAAATATGAAGTTATTTTACCATTTTGGGCAAAAGAACAAGTAGGGTTTTCTTGGTTGGAGATTTTCTGGGTGGGTATGAATTTGAGTAGGTACTCTATCTGTTCCTGAGTGAATGGTAGCTGTTTAGGTTCAACTCCTGCCTCTTGTTGAGTCTCAGTCACAGTAGTTTGTAGGGCCCTTTCTCCTTTCTTCTTCCCAGCTCCTGGTGGTTTTCCATGGAGTTTCCAGCATGTATCCCTTGTGTGCCACAGTTTCTTGCAGTGATCACACCAAGGTTTTTTCTTGTTGTCATCACTTCTGGGCACCAAAGCTGAAGATTCTCCAGGTTCCTCATTAGGTACTGGAGTGTTGTACATGACCTTCTTCCTACTATCCTCCATCCTGATTTCAGAAAATACCTCCCTGATAGAGGGTAGAGGTTTTTTCCCAAGTATCCTCCCTTTAACTTCATCTAGGTCCCTATTGATTCCTGCTAGAAACATATAGACCCTATCATTCTCTTCTTTTTTCTTATGTCTGGCCAGATCCTTAGCACTCTCCCACTCTTCATCATCATAACATTGATCTAATTCTTGCCACAGAGATACCATTTCATTGTAGTATGAAATAATATCCCTATTTCCTTGTTTAGATTGCCACAGTTTGGTTTTGAGTTCAAAAATTTGAGAAGAGTTCTCAAGATCTGAATAAGTTTCCTTAATAGAATCCCATACCTCCTTTGCAGTTTTCATAAACATATGAGGTTTGGCAATTAAGGGCTCCATGGAGTTGAGAAGCCAAGCTGTAATGAGTGAATTCTCTGACCTCCATGTACTGTACCCTTCTTCTGCAGGTAGTTTTGGTTGGATTTCTCCTGTGATGTAACCCAGCTTTCCCCTCCCATCAATTGCAAGTCTGACAGATTGAGACCACTCCAGATAGTTTGTTCCATTCAATCTATGACTAGTGATTATCATAGATGAATGAATAGGAGACTGGTAATTTTTCATAGAGCTAATTTGGGAGTTAGGGTTGATAGTGTGTGAGGAATCAGCCTCACTGGTTTCTACCATTGTTTAAACCGAGGCTCTGATACCATGTAGGTTTGAAGAATTAATCTTCCTTGTATTATTGAGCCATCCGGCAATGATATATATACAAGATTACAGATAAACTAAGGTCTGTTACAGATCCTAAATATTAGGATCTATCTATTCTTATCTACACTGCGAGCTAATCTAAGAGTTAGAGCCCTAAATCAACTCTAATTCCTATCTATACAGTTCCGGATGTACACATAATAAAATAACATGTATATGCTACATTTTTCTACAATAATAATAATATATTTTATTAATAAAAATGAAGAAAAAGTTATACGAAACAACTAAAATGGTCATCTACAATAATTTCAAATAGAAAAGTAAATTGAATCTATTACACAATTTCACGCGCGAAATAAAAAATTAGGAAACGAGTTCTTTATCTCATATATCCAATCAACATATCTAGGGAAGACTGTCAATTTCGTCCTCGTACTATCACGAAAAAGTCAATTAGGTCCTCATACTTAAAAAAATCAATCAAATTCCCAAACTCTGAAAAATGTACGTTCAATTGGGTCAATTAGCAGGTTACCCACCACGTCAGCAGGTCACCCGCTAATGTGACACACATGTGGCAACCCAGTCAGCACCAACTTTGCTGATGTGGCGCACACGTGGAAGCCCGGACAACAATTTCCGGATGACGTGACACACATGGACCGTCACATGTGTGCCACGTCAGCAGGTAACATGCGAGTAACATGCTAATTGACCCAATTGAATATTTTTTTGGAGTTCGAAGATTTGATTGATTTTTTAAATATGAGGATATAATTGACTTTTTCATGATAGTAAATGGACAATTTTGTCATATATGTAAAAGGACGTGCGTTTAAATATGATTACTTGCCAAGAAAATGACTTCTTCATGCTGAAAATAGACGATATCTATCAGATCTTCATGGTCTGCAGAGAACTTCCAATCAGCACCGATAGAGTGTGTAGAGAAGGCTTTGAAGCAATTAAGCGGTTCATGTTAAGACAAGTTCGAGTTCACGCTTCTCATGATCTTCAAAAGGCCCTAGAAAACAACACCCCGAAGGCAAATCTGGCTAAACCAATACTGTATGGATTGGAGCTCGAAGACTTCAGAGCCTATCACATTTTTGAAACTCCGCCTGCAGTGGTGTATCTGAATCACAAGCAAGAGAAACACCTGATGGTTGTCAGTGAGATCCACAAATACTGTGACGGGACCTTGAAGATTATACGAGAGAAGCTGCTGCCAATCAAAGAAGACATTAAACGAAGATTTGTCGATGCTACCAATGAAGAACAAAAAGAGTTTGACAGGTTGATGACAATTCTGAAACCCATAAATGAACAACCCGACAAGAGAAGGTCACTGAGATTGTACGAACATGCACTAAAGATCTGAAAGAATTATTTCAAAGCTTAGAGATAAAAGCAAGACGACACTTGATCACAAGGGGGGAGATTGTTGAAGACTATTTTGTTGTGAATCAAGTTTGTCGAATGTCTTGTTGTAGTCTAGCCTTAATTGTATGCCTTTAATGTATTTATGTTTTGTATTTAATAGGCTAGATAAAGGATATGGGTCCAAAGATGTCAGACCCATATTCCCTGGCATAAAGCCTTTACCACAACCTGCCTTCGACTATAAATATGCACGTAAGGTTTAGGTTTGCGGTTAACCTCTTAGAACCTTTAGAACGCTCATATATTGTCATATCATTTTGTAAGGCTTTCCACGGTATATCAAAGAAGGGTTTCACCGATCAAATACTTCATATCATTCTCTGAATCCTTGTTTCTTATACTGTGTTGCTATTCATATTGCTGTTAGATTATTATCTCTAAGTTTAGGGACCAACAAATAAATCTAGGGAAACATGTCAATTTAGTCATCCTACTATCACGAAAAAGTCAACTAGGTCCTCACACTTAAAAAAAATCAATCAAGTTCCTGAACTCTGAAAAAATGTTCAATTGGATCAATTAGCAGGTTACCCGCCACGTCAGCAGGTCACCCGCTGATGTGACACACACGTGGCAGCCCGGTCAGCACTGACTTTGCTGATGTGGCACACACGTGGAAGCTCGAATAGCCATTTCCAGATGACGTGACACACACCTGGATCGCCACATTGTACACCACGTCATATGGTACCTGCTAATTGACCCAATTGAACATTTTTTGAAAGTTCGGAAATTTGATTGATTTTTTAAAATATGAGAATCTAATTGACTTTTTGGTCGTACTAAAAGAATCCCAAATTGACAATTTTCCCATATATATCTAAAACGATGTGCTTTTAAACAATGTTTTGCACAAATTGGCGATACCGAGTAAGACGGTTGACTATGATTACTATAATCGGACCCATGCTACTACTTATTCTACAGAATTGCTCCCATCCCGAGACCCAACTACTCCTATATAGGGACTACCCAGTTTTCCTCTCAGTTCTCAGTTATTGCTTTGCCGCTTTTATCCTTCCGCCTCCACTCCAGATTACATACCTTCTTTCTTCATTTTCATATATACTCCTCCCTCGAATCAGCATCCGTCCAATTCTTGTCTTCCTATCCATGTCCAAATTATTCCTCCCTCGAACCTAAACTCTCCCCCAATTCTTAGCTTTGTTTCCGATATTAGCATACAATAAAGTAAACCAACCTCCCAGATGAGCTGACCTAATCACTCTGTTTTTGTTACATTGATTAAGCTGGATCTCTCCAAACACTTTCTTCCTTAGCCGCACAATTATAAAAAACTTCAACAATATGTAACTTTGATTAATCTGTTAATTTCTTCTTCCCGCCCCAAAAAAACCCTAAAAAAGCTCGTTTTTTCTTCATTTTCTTCATGTCTCGTTAAGATTTCTAGTTCGTTATCCTGGTGCTATCGTTCTGGCTGCAATAGAGGCGGTCCTGTAGCGGCACCTTTAGAAAAACCGGAAAATCATGTAGCTAGGACCGGTTCAGTAGTACGCGAAACTCTGTTTTCCCCCAAAAAAGAAAAAAAAACAGTTTGTTTGTATTGGAAGGAGGAAATGGCGGAATCGGAAAGTGGAACCCCGACGGCGCCGGCGACTCCGGGAACGCCGACTCCGCTGTTCACGTCCCTGCGGGTGGACTCGCTGTCGTATGACCGGAAGTCAATGCCCCGATGCAAGTGCTTGCCTTTCGGCGCTCCCACGTGGGGTGAACCTCACTCGTGCCTCACCGACTTCCCCTCGCCGGACGTCTCCCTCTCCCGTAAGGTACTACTTTCCTCACAGCAAGCTGGATGCACTTTTCACTTTATATTTTCATACACTTTATATTACTCCGTATGTACTCTGTATAGAGTACACATATACGGAGTAATTTTGATTCAGCCATCCATGTTTAGTCTGGATGAGAAAGGAAATTGAGAGGTGAAAGACGTGTGAAAAGAAATAAAGAAAGGAGATTATAGTGGATTTATGGTCCTGTAGTATATTTTCCACTAGGAAGAGGAGTACTGTTTGATAGAAAGAAACAAGGAATAATTGATCATTGATTGATTAAGAATGACATAAACATCAATTTGAAAAAAAAAACATTGATTTTGCATATGAGGAAATAGAACTTTGGAATAAAATTGATTACAAGCCCGTTTGTATTTCTTTTTCAGTCAACTTTTTTTAACAAACACTTGATCTTCTATTTCATATACTAAATTGTGTAATAATCAAATTAATTAAGATTGTTGTCACTTTTTTGGTTTAATTTTCTGAAGTTACGTAAAATATCATTTTGGCAACCAATTTTGCATATAATTATTTCTTTGTTTTGTTAATAAAATATGTAGTGTATTTTCAATATATTTTTCATAACTCAGTAGATTCAGTCTCAACCACTTCAATAAAAATCTAATTTTATCAATTTCAGATTTAACTAATTTCAATGTTAGTAAATGTATTCTACAGTTACAATTAATAGAATTTATCATCGCAACAATTACTTTAGAAACTCACACTTTTTATTGCTTCCATCCTTGCCTCGTGATAAAGTTAATTTTCAGCTAAAATTAATCAAGTTAGTTTGGATAATTAAAATTTATATGTTTAGAAAACTCATATTTGAATTTACGTCTTCGCTCAATCTATGTTTGTCTATATCAAAATAACAACTCAGTCTATTCCATATTTGCCTATTTGGTCATAGCAAATGGCTCATATATTCATTATTAATTTTAGAAGTTCAATATCTAACGCAATTTTACCTTTTTCAGTCATATGTCAAACTTCTCGTCCCAAGAGGAGTATAACTTTTTTTTTTTGTATTTGTGGCCATTAATTTTACGTTTATTGGTGACAACAAAAATTCTTGGGGTGTGAAAGATGATGTACAAAAGTGGATACAAAAAGCATTTTTGAAGAAATGACAAAGGCAAAAAAACAGTTTGTTAATTCTCTGATCTTTCTTCGCACTTGCATTAGATTGGGCCATTGGGACCTAGTTGTTTTATTTTTATTGCTCCAGTCTGTTTCAATTACCAAACGGGGTATTATTCATTTTTGTCTGGGTCATCTCCTATTTCAATCTTTCTTCTCTAAACTCTCTCTCTCTCTCAACCTAACACAGCTTTCCTATTTGTCGTTGAATTGACACAACGAAGTTCCATAACACCAAACACGGTTTTGACTAAAACGTACAATAAGGCTACTGCTTAGTTTTTGATAAAAATATTACTCGTACACACTTGTGGGTATAGGGCCCATTTGGTAACACTGCAATTAGCTTAATTGACTAAATCTGATGAAATTGATGAAATTGTGTCTGAATCAGTTGGATTGACTGAATTTGATGAAATTGATGAATTCTGGCTGAATCATTTGAATTGACTGAATATATAGAATTATGAAAAAATCATATTTAAAATATACTTTATTAATTAAATAAAGAAAAAATTATATGAAAAATAGTTAAAATAGACCTCTACTATAACTTCATCAATTTAAGTCAGAAAAGCAACTCCAATAAGACTTATTTTGATTGTTACACAAACAATTCGGCACGCTAAATCAAAAGTTGTGTGTTCGATAAAATTTTGACCGATAAACTGAAAATGGAGGTTACCACACGGGTTCTTATTCTAAAAATAATAATTAATAACTACTTTTCTTTACTTTAAGATTAAAATAAATGATATTTTTTAATACAAAACAATTACTCTAAAATTTGTTTGGTAAGATTTAAAAAGCGTTATTTCGAAAGTCACATCTATAAAAAAAACTGGCAATAGAAGTGCTTTCATGTTACATCTATCAAGGGAGATTTCTCAAAATACGACTGTTTTTTTTTTACCGAAATATGACTAAGATGACATTATTTACTGTCATCTTTTAGACATGACTACCAAATAGTTGCAGTACTATGCATTCAACATGACATTAATTATTATAAATAATGACAGTATTTTTCAATGATGTCAATATTTTTCAACCATGACAATAACGACTCCTATTTCGGGAAGAAAAAATAGTGGTCCTATTTTGAAATTTCCAAAATTGTTTACTCCTATTTAGGACAATTTTCCCATCTATCAATTACTTTTGACCAAATTATAATGGTTGATTTACGAAAAAGTTATTAGTACTAATTTACTTATGTAAAAACATAGTAGTAATTACCAAACATTCTTTTCACCCACTGCCCCCACCACTGAAGCACTTGCAGTGGTTTGTGGTGATGGAGGGTTCTATTTGTCACCCCATCCGCACTAACCATCCACCTTCCTCTATTCTTCATTACTTACACATCCTTTTGCACCATCCAAACGAACTTATGATGTGTTTTATTCAACGGATGCGGAAGGAAGTAATTGCATTTTAACATTACCTTTAATGGACGCTTTAGAAAGGAGGGGTAACTATTTAGTGATAATTGTTTGGTTCTGAAGAGAAGAGGAAAAGCAATACTCCATTCTAGTATTCTACAAAACCAAATTCTCTGATCTTAACTGCTTTGGTTTGAACTATTGAAGTATATCAAGTTTAGCTTGGTGCCTTGGTCTTTTCTAATTTGATCTAGTATGAGACTAGAACTATTCCATGGAAAACAGACTGACATTGTTAATTTGTCATCCATAATGATAATAAGTTTACTTATATTTTATTTTAAAACATTCTGTTATACTTCATTTGGATACGTTTTTTCCACTATAATAAGAATTAAGAATATCAAAAAAGAGATGCCGTTCTAAAGAGGGGGATCAGAGATGTTTGGTGCAGCATAAGTGAAAATTAACTACTGTTTTTTTTGTCATCCCTTTTCATTGTCATATAGTGAAACTCACCTCTTTACAGATTTGTTGTGAACTAATTTTACTTTTGGTGGCACTAGCTTATAATGGATGGAAGGAAAAGTCAAAACGTATCAAATGGTGTGATTGACTCATGTGCCCATTGATTATATTCAATAGCTTTGCATTCACAAATACAAAATAATGCAAGACTCACAAGGTTGCAATGATTGCTCAAATAATAATTGATAGAATGTGAACACAATGCTTCCAAAGCACTCCTCCCAATCACAACAAGTAGACAATATACTTTTTTTTTAAATATTTGGTAGTCCATAATTGGCCAAAGCTTGGTAGTATTAAGGCATTCTAATACAAAGATACAAACTAACATTTAAAGTATAATTTTTTATGCGTAAAAACACCAGAAAACCGGTTTATGACTGCTACGGTCCCTACAATTGATTTGTGTAGCTTGCGGCAGAGTTCGTAGGGACGTTTATCCTGATATTCGCCGCAACAGCGGGGCCCATTGTGAACCAAAAGTACAACGGTGTGGAGTCACTAATAGGAAACGCTGCCTGTGCGGGGCTGGCGGTTATGATCGTGATCCTCTCCACTGGGCACATCTCGGGAGCTCATCTCAACCCTTCCCTCACCATTGCCTTTGCTACGCTCCGCCACTTCCCGTGGGCTCAAGTGCCGGCTTATATTGCTGCCCAGGTCTCGGCATCCATATGCGCCTCCTTTGCTCTCAAAGGCGTTTTCCACCCCTTCATGGCTGGTGGCGTCACCATTCCTTCCGTTGGCACTGCCCAAGCTTTTGCTCTCGAGTTCCTCATCACCTTTAATCTCCTTTTTGTTGTCACTGCTGTTGCTACTGATACTCGCGCGGTAAGCTAATTAATTAGTACACTCATCTATCGTTGATGTCATTTTTCACAGTATGTATTTTACTGGTCTCTGTCTTGACATTCCAATCCTTATTTATTTTTGTCACCATTTTATTTAATGGAATAGGTAGGAGAACTAGCAGGAATAGCAGTTGGAGCTACAGTTATGCTCAACATTCTAGTTGCAGGGTGAGTATAAATTTCTTACCAGTTGTCAATGCTTTGCTACAATACAAATACTCGTGGCCGGTTCTATGGGATGGATAAAAAGGGCATGTGCTCTAGAGGACTTGTCAATGGGAGATGTTTGAAACATACCCAAAATTTGATGAATTAATGGGCTTTACATTCTGTTTCGTGAAAATATACGATTTAAAGCCCTATTCTTTTAACATGTATTGAGAATGTTTAAGAAAACTCTGTAATTTGGTGAAGTACTAAACGAAGTTGGACTAATAATAGGTTATAGGAGTATTACAAACCAGGACAAATGAATTGAATAAAATAATTGGAAAGAACGTTACAAATATGATTCATAAGATTATACTCTGTATGATACAAAAATATGACCAACTTTTTTGAAAAAAGTGGCTATTTTTTTTTAAAACAGTAAACCTTTTCAAAATCCTCCCTCCAACATCCACCCAACTGCATCCATTTGGTGCCGTAATGAGCCGAAAAGTCTCCAAGAAAAATTCGCCTCAAATTAGACATGTGGGACAGTGTCATTGACAGTGTAATCACTTTTTGAAATTAATAAAAAACAGTTACGTATTTTCCCTAATATCATTCTAATATTAAAAGTATTACATGAAAGCAAAATAATTAACTGAGCTGTAAACTGGTCTCGACCACAAAAATACAACGAAATGTTCACTTTTGCCATACCGTTCAAATATAGACACTAGCATTAAAAAATTCTCATTTTGTTCATGACTTTGAATCTGGTAATGTATTTATCACCATTTCCCCTTCAAAAGTCAACACGGGAAGATTTAATTAATTAGTAGATGCAAATGGTTTTGGTGTTTGAATAACATATTTGGTCAATTCTTGAAGGCCATCCAGTGGGGGTTCGATGAATCCTGTGCGCACATTGGGGCCGGCAGTGGCAGCAGGAAATTACAAGTCACTATGGATATACCTAGTCGCACCTACTCTTGGGGCACTTGCTGGAGCAACCATCTATACAGTGGTGAAGCTGCGGGAAGAAGACGCGGTACCAATTACGCGCCCGAGGAACTTCCGCCGCTAATCGACCTCATCATCAGCTCCATCCACCTATCTGCCTCAAGTACAAAATCCATGTGAATAATTAATAAAATGAGACTGAAGGTTTACAAGTAACTTCAAGTTTGGTCTCCTACCTATATGTGTGTTGTGTTAGTCTGTCACCACGTCTTCTTATGTCCATTTGGTTTGTACGTGAAAAGGTAATGAACATAATCAGTTTGCATCTTGGCTTGATAATGTAATGGTGTGTGCCAATAATGAAGGGGAGTCACTCTATCATACGCTCCCCTTACGTGCTTCAAATATAGACTGTAATAATATATATAGAGTATAATTAATTTGTATGTTGTTTGAGTGCCCCACAAATACACATTGCAAACATATTATTTACTTAATTTACTATTGAAGATGGACTAAAAAAAAACTATTGAAGATAGACTCATATATTATCAAATTCGCAGCAGCTAATTAAGAAAGAAAATCAAAAATAAAACTGGGAAGAAGAGATAAAAATTCTCCTTGTTCTGTTGTGTATGTTTCGGCCGAAGCCTTACAATATATATAGGTAGGGTTAGCCGCATGAGACTCCCTTTCCTATAATAATTCTAACCATAAATATAAAAATTAATAATTAATAGCTAATGATTAGGGGATCCGTAGATACTAAAAATAATGGTCCAATACCCCCCTCAAGTTGGAGCGTGAGGATCTAGAATGCCCAACTTGCATAACAAAAAATGGAACTGAGTCTTCCCCAAAGCTTTAGTAAAAATGTCTGCCAGCTGAACTGTGGTAGGAACAATGGAACATAGCTCGGAGAAATGAGATTATCCTGAATGACATTACGGACGAAATGACAATCTACCTCAATATGCTTGGTACGTTCATGAAATACCGGGTTTCGGGCAATGTGAATAGCGGATTGGCTGTCACAAAGAAGAGGGATGGACTGAGTGTGATTAACACCAAGACTGAGAAGTAAAGCTTTTAACCATTTCAACTCACAAGTAGCAGCAGCCATGGAACGGTACTCCGCTTCTGCCGAGGAGCGAGCAACAGTAGTCTGTTTCTTGGTCTTCCAAGAGACAGGGGAGTGACCAAGAAAAACCAACCAACCAGAGAGAGACTTACGAGTGAGGGGACATGCTGCCCAATCGGAATCACACCATCCAGTAAAACCCGAAGAAGAATACCCTGACCTGGAGACCCTTTGAGATAACGAACAATGCGCAAGGCCGCGTTCCAGTGGTCTGTACGAGGGGCTTGCAAGAATTGAGAGAGGATATGAACTGCATAAGCAAGATCTGGTCGTGTAATCCCAAGATAGATGAGACGTCCCATAAGTCGCCGGTATTGTTCAGGATCCGCAAGAGGTGGTCCAGAAGCCTGAGCCAAGTTATGATTCTGTTCGATGGGGAAGGAGGCTGGTTTGGCACCAAGGAGACCTGCCTCAGATATAATGTCAAGAGCATATTTCCGTTGGGTGAGAAAAATACCAGAAGGGCTGCGAGCGACCTCAATGCCAAGGAAAAATTTAAGCTTGCCCAAGTCTTTCATGTGAAAACAATCACTCAAATATTTTTTAAATAAAATGATGTCTTCAGTATCATTCCCGGAGATAACCAAATCGTCAACATACACAGGAACATTTAGCTGACGTGTGCCTTTAGTGCGTGTAAACAAGGAGTAATCTGCAAAAGATTGAGTAAAGCCATAACCTCGTAGCGCACCAACAAGTTTAGCGAACCAGCATGTGGGAGCCTGTTTTAAGCCATATAATGATTTATGAAGACGACAGACCAGATTCGGATCTGTAGTGAAATAACCAGGAGGAATTGTCATGTAAACCTCTTCTTGAAGATCCCCATGTAAAAAGGCATTGTGTACATCCATCTGATGAAGCTCCCAATTCTTACTAGCCGCAACAGCAAGAAAGGCACGAACAGTAACCATCTTAGCAACAGGCGCAAATGTCTCTGTATAGTCAAGACCAGCAACTTGACGATTTCCGAAAATCACTAATCGTGCTTTGAAACGTTCCACACTGCCATCAGATTGATATTTAATTTTGTACACCCACCTGCATCCCAAAGTACGTTTGCCAGGCGGAAGGGGAACCAGGGACCATGTAGCATTCTTTTCAAGCGCGTGTATCTCACTACGCATGGCCTCACGCCATTCAGGAACAGCGGCCGCCTCACGAAAAGATTGTGGTTCTTTCCTGGAAGTTATAGCTGCTAGATATGCACGATGTGAAGTGGAAAAATTATCACAACTAACATAATGAGAGATAGGGAACGGAGTACCTGAGGAAGCCGCGGGAATGGACGAAGAGAACGGAAATGAATTGTACTTAACGACTGTGTGAGTCACATAATCTTGCAAACGTACAGAAGGGTGTTTAACCCTATGTCCACGCCCAAGAGTTTCAGCAACATCCGTAGTGTTCTCGGTCAAGGTATGATCATTCGCAGCAGGCTGGTCCGAGATGTCAGCAGCAGGTGCAGTGGACCGATCCGAGACTCCAGCAGCGGGTTGAACATGTGAAGTAGGTGCTGAAGTGTCAAACACATAACGCTCGGCAGTAGGGTCCACAAACACATCATCATTTAATGTGTGTTCCAACTCAACTTGAGAAGAATTCGACAAAGCAGTGGCAAAGGGGAATATATCTTCAAAGAATTTAACATCCCGGGAGACGAAGTACTCACCTTTTTCAAGATCATACAAATTCCACCCCTTTTTTTCAAAAACATATCCAACGAATATGCATTTTCTGCTCCGACTAGTAAATTTGTCTCCCTTGGAATGAAGATTATAAGCATAGCAAAGACATCCAAAAATCCGCAAAGTGTCATAACAAGGGATTGTCCCAAACAATATTTCATATGGAGTTTTGAACTCAAGCACCGAGGAGGGTGTCCGATTAATGAGGTGAGCTGCAGTTAAAACGCATTCACCCCAAAAAGTTAATGGCAAGTGAGCATGAAACCGTAAGGCCCTAGCCACATTAAGAATATGTCGATGCTTGCGTTCAACACGCCCATTCTGTTGGGGTGTAGCAACACAAGACGTCTGAAAAATAATTCCACTGGCTCTAAAAAAATCTTTCAAACAATGGAATTCTGTTCCATTGTCACTTCGTATCACGGACACTTTTTTAGAAAATTTTCGTTCAACCATTGCAATAAAGGACATAAACATAGTAAAAACCTCTCTTTTATCTTTTAATAAATAAATCCATACAGCACGAGAATAATCATCCACTATAGTTAAAAATAATCTGGCCCCACAAGAAGGAGTATGATAGGGTCCCCACAAATCACAATGAACTAGATCAAAACCGCTTTGACTTTTATTCATACTATCAGGAAAAGAGTCTCTACTATGTTTAACATGAAAACAAACATCACAAGGGGAAGTAAACATGCCCTGTTCGGTGCTCACAGGTGCAAGTCTACTCATAGCTTTGGCTGACGGATGTCCCATTCTTCGATGCCACATGTCCACTAATGTCAACCTCCCATTCACAGCAGAAAAAGGATGTCCCACTGTTTCTCGAAGATAGTACAATCCGTTCCTTCTTTCACCCATTCCAATCAGCTTCTTCGAGACTCGGTCCTGTATCAAACAAAGGTTAGAAGTGAACTGCACAAAACAATTTAGATCATCACTCAGCTGAGTAACTGAGATGAGGTTGCAAGTCATTTTTGGTACACAAAGAACATGTGTCAACTGCAATCTGCCTGCAAAATTTACGCATCCTTCTTCTGTGGCCAGCACCCGTTGTCCATCGGGTAGCCCAATTGAACAAGGTTTAATGTATGTAATATTTATTAATTTTGTTCGTTCACCACAAATATGATTTGTGGCTCCAGTGTCAATAATCCAGGTGGTGAGTTTAGACATACCATTAATGTGGTTAGAAGAAGAGTTTGGAGTACCGAACGCCGAGACCAGTGCCCTCCATTGCTCCAGCGAAAAACCTGGCAACGGAGCATCATCCCTGCTGGAAGCAGTTCCCGCCGTATCAGCATGTGATCCACATGCAGCCATAATGGCTGCATTGGCTTTTGCATGTAGTTTTCCACGTCCAGTATCACGCGCAGGTGTATTGCCGCGGCCATCAGCCTTGTTCCCTGGTTTTGGCCGATCACCCCACAAGTCCGGATACCCCTTAAGCTCAAAGCAACTTGTGACATCATGGCATGTATATTTGCAATATGTACAAACCAGTCCTGCCTTGTCAGTTTTACCGCGACTGTTTCCTCCAGGTTTTGTTTCGGCTTTGACCGCAAAACCCATGGCGTCTGGTTCTGCACCGTTCGTTGTCACTCTGCGGACTCGTTCTTCTTGTGCAATCTGCTGATAGGCACGATTCAGAGTAGGCAGTGGCACTTGAGTCAATAATTGTGATCGTACGTGACCAAAAAAGTCAGCATTTAATCCCATCAAAAACTGATGGAATCGTTCAGATTCTCGGCGCTTCTCATGTTGTTTACCGACATCACAAGTACATCCACCACATTTACAAGCGATGATGGGTTCATAGTTATTCAATTCATCCCAAAAAAATTTTAATTTTGCATAATATGTTCCCACATTCACCCCTTTATTTTGAACACACCGAGCAAGTTCTGTCTTGACATGGTGTATTTTCGGCCCATCCACGGCTGAAAAACGCTCACGAAGATCATCCCACAAATCTCGAGCATTCTCATATTGAGACAACGTGTTCTTCACCTCCACCGATATTGTGTTGAGTATCCAAGACACCAACATAGAATGTATGGTCAACCAATCATCCTCCGTACAAGGTGGCTTCAGTTTATTGATAGTGCCATCGACGAATCCATACTTCCGCCTAGCCCGTAACGCCAGCCGCATTGCATTAGCCCAGTCATCATAATTATCTCCATTCAATCGCACCGGAGTGATAAAATCACCCGGGCGGTCTTGCGGTCCAAGAAAGAACGGCGAAGAATGATCAATTTTCATTGACGCCTCAGCGTTTTGTTCCGAGTCGTCTCCGGCAGCCATGTTTGTGTTTTAATGCTCTGATACCATATCAAATTCGCAGCAGCTAATTAAGAAAGAAAATCAAAAATAAAACTGGAAAGAAGAGACAAAAATTCTCCTTGTTCTGTTGTGTATGTTTCGGCCGAAGCCTTACAATATATATAGGTAGGGTTAGCCGCATGAGACTCCCTTTCCTATAATAATTCTTACCATAAATATAAAAATTAATAATTAATAGCTAATGATTAGGGGATCCGTAGATACTACAAATAATGGTCCAATATATATTATCAATTTATATCTTGCAACAATGATTCAAGAATTGTGTTTGTACAACGTGGGCCGAAAAAGATGTTATATATTTCAACCATGCATGCAAACATGATCATTCTTTTATTGTAGGCGTAGAGTACGTAC